CCTATTTCACCCCATTTTTCCATATTGTGATCTTTTTCTTAATTTTAAAGGTTGGGTTTCCCATACAGTTTATCATTGAAAAAGGATCAAATTTTCAATTAGACATCATAATTTTCCAGCTGATAAAATTGTTTCCAGAGAAACTAAAGTTGTGTGTATTTTGACTCTTAATACTATCCTTCCAACCAAAGCTACTATGTAGATATGTATATTCCAAAATTACCCAATCCAGAAAATTAACAGCAAGTGTTGGTTTCCAGTAATTAATATGTGATAATCAGAAAGCATGATGATATAGCTCTAGATTCAGAAAACCGAATTCACACTGACCAACTGGCGCCTGTTGTTTTTGAAAAGTGAAATAAAGATGTCAAGAAACTTTTATGAAGAAATAAAATCTTCACTTAATTGAACATGAACTTCTTAATAATGGTTTAGATACCTCATCAATATTTTAGAATGAAACTTTTAAAATGCTCAAAATTAAAATAATTTCATAATATACTGTTTCACACATCACACATATACGTCCTCTTTGTAATGCATGCTTTACTAGAGTCACTGGGGAGGGAAAAAGGATGATGTACAGGATGAGGAAGCACTGCTGTGTTCTCTTTATTCCAATGAACCACCTAGATTACTTCACAAACTATCCCCTACGCCCCCTTACAATCCATTGATTTGCTCTATTAGCAGTCTTGGGAAACTCTACTATTGTCCAGGGGAATTTCCTCAGTATGGAGAGCACTCCCTAGCAGCCTGCCAATCAGCTGAATGGTAAGCAAGAACCTTAGAACAGAGCATCAGCATTCACAATGGGTTGTACAGATAGTCAAACTTGCTCTGCAGCATGTGAAAAATTAGAAAGAAAACCAACAAAGTAAATAGAAGAGGCAGGAACAAAGAAAGATGTGCCTCTGACCACCTGCAGGCCGCCTTACCTCATCAACTGAGAAACCAATTTGGTAGCACGACTTACCATATTGATACAGAGTTAGATTTAAAATTATTGCGTGCACTGATGCATTCCATGACACACCTCTTCAGTCTATTCTTGGCATGTTACTAAGATACAGCTGTTTCTATAGAGAATTTGTCTGCTAGCAATAGCAGGCAGATTAAACTACAACCATTTGGAAAAACAATTAATTAAAATACAAATGAAATGTCAGGACTGAAAAATGTTTAAAATTCCTAGGTAATGGCCTCATGTGTGGAGAATGCCTGAGAGTTTCAATCTTTAGCTATATTTTGGATAGATTCTTCTCTTTCTCTCCCTGCCCCCATCTTCAGTGGATTAACTTTCCTAGTTGAGCATGGTGCAGTAATAGTAGGTTTTGAGTTTCTCATGTTGTTCTAAAAGCTTTTGTGAACTTAAAGGCAGTTATAAATTGGTTGCTCTACAAAAAAAAATCACAAGAATATGAACTATAAAACACAATGGCATAAATAAAAGTTACTTCTTTTAAATGCAATGAAATATTTGTATGAAGTTCTGACTACAAGAATTGAGCAGCAAACAATTAAAATAAAAACCCAAATAAGTGAAAATTGTATTCTTATAAGTGGAGCAATGCTCTACTTTATTCAAAAAGGCATATGTAGTAGTTTTTCTTGGGACTCCAGCACATCATAGACCCAACTACTTTACTATCTTCTTAATCTTTCAGTACTTTTCTTCCAAATCTCTCTCCTTCACTTGCTTTCTTTCAGATTTCCTCCAGTCTCTTACTTAGAGACTGTTCAAAGTCTATAAAAGGGTTAGTCATATGACCACCCCATTTTTACAATTGTTATGACTTACAACCATATTGGGCAGGCACTCCATTATGGTTGTAACTCAAAAACCACCTATACCTTTTTTTCACTGATTACATTCACACCTGGTACTAAGCCATAGTCTATGGATAATATACCCTGATTAAGTTTTATGCATGGTTTCAGCGCATCTCCTTAGTTTTTCATCTTGTTGTTCCTCAAATGAGTCAGAATTGTCCACATCCTTTATCTTCCCCTATTTCTCATTTCCCTACCAGTAATCCTGTGAACAAGATTCTATAATGCCAGTGTTTTGCATTATGTCTCTAACTCAGCATTCTGATTATAACCTTCTATTACTCATACACTTTTGAAATGAACCTAAGTAACTTAAAGAGCAGAAAAATAAATGTTTCTAATGCTGTCCTTCACATGCTTGAGTAATAGCTTGTTTACAAGTTCATAAGTTGCAGTAATAGATGGTTGCTGCAATCATTCTTAAGCTTCTGCATGGGCCACAGGTTAAAACTAAACAAAAGAAAGACTAATCCCATTGAATAATATCCTAGTAAAGTCATAAAAACGATTGAGAAAAGAAATAATAGTGAAACGGGGCTATAGGAATTTGGTTGCAAAAGCTTGAATAGACAAACCGTTCTGAAGATAAAATTAATGGGACTGAGAATAAAAAATAAAAAAGAATCATATGTGTATCCCAAGGTTTACGGCTTTAGAAGGAACATAATTAAATTGTTGGTTTTTAAAAAAAATTAATATATCATGGAATAAAACAAGAATAAACTGATATAGGAGACCACACAAGGAAAAAAGAGAAGGCAGGAATAGCATCATGAGATAAAAATCTAAATGTTTATAAAATGAATTAGTGCCATGTGCATTAGAATGATAATGTTATATGAGAGCAATATCTTTCTGCTAAAAGAAACCTATGTAAGGGAATTTTAATGCTTTCCAGAAACAATACAATCCCTGTCCAGACAAGACTTTACAATGTCTTTATAGTGAAGAAAAATACTTCAAAACTTTTCAGTCATCCATGCCACTGAAGGTGTGCCAGTATTAGGCTCCATGTAGATGTGCTTTTGCTGTTCTCCTTTCTAATAGCGCTCTATTAAAGGGCCAGATAAACATCAAACCTACTGGGATCAGAAAAGCTGTCAAGGCCTAAGTTTCATGGATTTGTTAAATAGTTGGTCCCTATCCTGCACTGATGAAAGTAAAGATGGTGGCATTAGTGATGGTAGCGATGATGGTTAGTTGTTTTACATTATTTTCTTTAGTCTATAGATATGCCACTGAAGAAATCTGGAGACCCAGAAAAAAATGAAGAAAATGGTCCTGGCACCAGATGGAGAAAAGAATTCAGAAGAATTAAGCTGAATTTTAGAAGATTGGAGTTCTAGGTAGCAGAAAAGGAATGAATGGTCTCATCAGTTGGAGACAGGGAAGCTGAATAGCAACGTGTCTTTTACCACAACATTCCAGCAATTCACATTCTTATTCTATCAGAATAAAAGGAGGTTAAGGTTCTCAACCATTTTCTGGACAACTCTGAAAATTTAACTAGTTCCCTATTATTAATGGCCTACAACATGCATCAGATCAATATTAATATTTATGTATTATTTAAGACCAAGGATAAATACCCTACAAGAAAATATCAGACAGAACTAAAAGTCTTTATGGCAAAAACTGCCCAATTTTAATCAGGCTTTTGTTCTCAAAATGATTATACTGTCTGCTATCTGGCATGAATGTACAGGAACCAGCACAGTTGAGGAAGTATTGAGCTGATGCAACTTGAGCAGTTCATGGCCCAACTACTTGAAGAGTTCTATAATGAAATCTTCCTGACATAAACCATGACGATATAAGTAGTGATCTGGTAGCCTAGAAGGTAGAGGATTCCAAAATTTGGGCTCAAAGAATTATTGAGGTGAGAGTTACTGCCTGGGTTACTGCCAGCCAGCCAGGATTAACCTAGGAGCCACACTATCGTGCATCTGCAACAATATCACATCAAGTATCATCCAACCCACTATAGAGGGAAGACTTGCTGACAGACCAGCCTCCAAATGCTTCAAATATAAAGAACATGGTATCTTAAGTAACACTTTCTCCAAATGAAAGTTCAAGTGAATCTGAATCTAAAAGTCATAGGCCAGATAAATTTTCTGGAAGTGTACAGTAAACACTTCCCTAAATTCAGTATGGATGTGTAAAATTGATAGTGGATGGTATTAGAAAGAATGATGATTGTTGACTTAGTTGAAAATATGTTCCTGTCTCTGTAAAGTAGGCAATAAACTATTCGGGTCAATGTGCAGCAACAAACTGAAGTACACTGTCTGAAATGGACTTAACTCAACATGAGGAAGAGTGCATTGGAAGTGGAGCAGCAAACTGCACCCTGAACAATGCCAGATTTAGGCATAAAGTAAACAAGCTATAGTTTAGGGCCTAACAATCTGCAAGGTATTAATTTTCTCATTTTGCAAACAAGTTCAATATTTATATTATAAAAACATGGTATTACTTATTGTGTTGGCATTTTGTGTATGTATATGTGTGTGTTTGTATGTATACACACATTATGTATGCATATGTATAAATGTGTGTGTGTATAAATGCATCTTGAAATTATTTTAAAATATCTTATACAAATTCAGGGCTAATAGAAAAATGTCTAAACACAAGAATAAAACCTCAGAAGGGTCTATTGAAGCCATGCAAAAAACATCAAGAGACCATGAGAACCTGTAACTTGAATGTTTGTATTTTCATCAGGAGCAATCACAAAACATAACCTCTCCATTGTATTGTAAACTGAGATTTCAGTCTCAAAATTTTCATTCAAAATATTAAGTCATATGTTTTGAGTGGGGCTATGTGATGTACAAAATAAATGTCCATACCTCTGCTGGTTTTAATAGTTCCTATTCAAACACCTTAAGCAACTTTTAATTTATAGGTAGGATACAGAATGGAAAAATGTTTTAAAAAACAAAACAGAAATGCTCTTAGAATTAGAAACAGGTATAATTTCCCGGCAAATATTCCAGCATTGGCTGGAATATGTAGATAAAATATCGTAGTGGTAAAGTCTAAGCATCTAATCCCGGACCGGATTGCCTTCAGAAAGGCTACTTCAACTTTAAATTGGAGTCGGGGAAGGCCGTGGGCGTCCTTTCCAACCTAGTCCCATATCTGCAGCAGCAGAGGCAGTAAATCACTCGCCAGCCGCTAGCTGTCGCACTGGTTCTGGTCTGCGCTGCGGCTGCTTCGCAGGGATCTGGTGCTCCTGGGCGGCCGCTCAGTCGTTCTTATTTGGCAACTACGCGCAGGGCGGCGGAGTCGTCAGGCAGCATCCGGAGTCGTACCGTGGCCGAGCAAAGGAAGTAACGCCGCGACAGCAAAGGCCGAACGGCGCGATCCCCGATCTAGTTGGCGGGCGGGAGGGGGGAGCAGCCATGTTGGCGTGGGGCATAAAGTGACTCTTTGAGCCGGGAAAGAACGGGGCAGAACAGGAAGCGTACTTGGGGCGGCGGCATTAGCTGGCGGGGGCTCGCCTGCGGAAGAAGAGGAGGCGGTGGCGGTGCGGCGGTGCCAGCGAGGAGGGAGCACGGAAACCTAAGGCAGGACGAGGACCGCCCCGGCGCGGCAGAGATTCGGCGCGGCTCCTGCTGCTGGTGAGTTCAGGGCTGCTCATTGTCTGCCGTGCGCGCAGGTCAGGGGCCTGGCCCGAGGCGAGAGGGCAACGGGGCGGCTTCCTTTCAGCCCCGAAAGGGAGCAAGGTGGTGAGGTGGGTGTTCAGCGATCTATACCGGTCTCCGGTGCTTGGGAGAAATTGGAGGCAGAAGGACGACGTCCGTGAAGGATCTACTCTTTTGGCACGTGTAAGTGGATGGGCTTTTTAAAATTCGGGCTCTGCTGAAACCGAATATGATAGCAAAAAAGAGCTTCAGACCTTCGACTTTGTTTGTCGCCCACTATCCTTCCTTTGGGGGGGGGGGTGCACGGGAGAGGGTAGTCCGGACCGGATGGTAATTGCGCATGAGGGATAGGATGTGGTGAGAAGGCATTTCTTGGCTTTACAATATTTCGCCTCTGTTTTCAGTGCGTATGTCCTGGATGAAAGGAAGGAAATGGGGCTTAATAGTAAAGAATTGATTGCCCTGATTTGAACTATTCCTGCTTTCCGAGCTCTGTGCATCGGTTCACCGAGGGCATTCAGATTGTTGGTAAATGGCTTTTCAGCGAAGTGTCAATTCTGCAAAGCTGTGCAGGGATGAAAGCAGGAACAGCATATTAAATATTATCTCCCTCCCTCTCTCTCACTCTCACCACACACAGATCGTTTTGATAATCAATCACTATCTGATGTTGATGTTTCATAAGATTTGATATGCGCATACCATGCACGTCCTCTAAGATCTGCTTTGTGTTTTAATTCTCAGAGGGTGGTAACAGGTTTTTTTCTCCTGGCAATTTTCCTGTATCTCATACTTTGCCAACATGTTAAAATATCTATACATTTATATTTCTATTTATAACAAGCCATTTTGAGAGTGCTTTAGCTATATCTTCTTGCTGCATCTTTTCCCTCTCTTTAGGTTCCTCCTAAAGCATTCTTAAAATGACAGGATATAAGGCATACACTGACCCTGAACCCCTTCCTTTTATAATTGGTATTATCATAGATTCTGCATAAACAAAATAGCTTATTCTGGGAGAACAGCCTACTTGGTATGAATCACCATTTACAATTTTGTGGAAACCAATACAGTGTGTTTTCAGAAATGAATTAGCTCCTTTTTGCTCCCTGGCTATCCTTACTCTTCTTGCAAAGACTATTCAAGTAGCTTAAAACACATTTGGCATGTTGTTTACAACAGCTACTATTTGCCAGTGTTCAGTGGGCCATAAGGATGAGACAAGACAGAAGATGTAGCCAAATTATTCTATTTGGACTTCTTTTACCCTTATTTTTGTTACATGGTGCAAGTGTATAAGTTCAAGTTTATTCTTTAGTATTTCTACCTTTTAAAAATAGTTCTATGGGTTATTTCAAAATAGGTCATATGCTTTTAGCTTAGAAAAAAGGCTGATAAAATAAAATTGTACAGGGCATTGTGAAAGTAAACAAACAGTTTATTATTTCTTATTACAATATACATTGTGCCCTTTCTTTGGGAGCTCAAGGTGGTGAAGATGGGTGTTGCCTGTTATTTCTTTCTTCCAACAATTACCATATGGAGGGAGGTTGGGTTAAGAAATAATGACTTGCCAGTGGAAGTAATAATGTACCTTAGAAAGCTGTGACTGGCTGTAACTGCACCCTTTTTACAACCCTTATTTGTTTTGCATAAAGTGAAACAAGCATTGAGTGTGATGTGCTTTATACTTAAACTTTGTCACTGTGCAAGGATCTGAATTCACCTTTTCAAAATTGTATCTATTATTTGTTGCAGTGTACTGGCTCCTTGCCATTTTTTCTTCAATTTACTGCAAAATTAAATGTGCAAAAATATTTTTCACTAACTGGACTAAAGCTCTAAAAAGCTCACAATTGTTTTCTTGAACAGAAGACGGTGATGAGAAGTGGTGAATAAGATTCCCAAACTACACAAAAAATCATATGCACTACTTTTGAAAATGAAAAGTGACTAGTGATTTAATGATTTAACATTTATTAGTGCAAGTCCTATGTTTGTTTAGGATTAATGTAAGTAAAAAGTTTTGGTCTAATGGTTAGCTCAATGCTGTCCTATACATATTTGCTTGAAAGTAGATCCCTCTTTATTCAAAGAAGCTTATTCCCCAGTAAAAATGTTTTGAATATCTCACTGTTAGTGTTGTGGATGATTAATTCACAGGGTAATTTATACACGTCCACTTAAAGTAAAGCTCTACTTATTCCCAAGCAAGTGAATTCAGACTTGCAGACTCAGGTTGCTAAAGAAAATATATGGACTCATATTCATTGGGTCATATTTCATTTCATTGACTAGTTTTGCCTGCTTAATTCTACTTTATTTTATTTTTCATAAGGTATTGCTTTATTTTTTTCTAAAGCTCTCATACCTTTTTGAAACTTCCATTTTTGTCTGCATCTGATTATTCCGTGTTTCGCTTCTCATTTTCATCTTGCCTTTTTTCTTTGTGGTCTCTTAAGGAGCAGCAGAATCTACAATATTTGCCTCTTTCCCTTTTGGCAGCTGCTTTTCCCAGATTATTTTCTTTCTTTTCTTTTTTTTTAGGATGGCTTTCATGACTAACCTAACTAGATGTTAGTTTCTTGCACTTTTTTTGGGTTGTTGGAAACATTTGGAATTGTGAGGTAATATATACTTTCCCCAAATGACTGCAATAGCAATCTTATTTTGCCCAAAGACAAACTGATGAGCTTACCCTTTCCCCTTTCCAGCATTTTTGGGTGCTTTTTATCTTGGCAATGCACATTTTTTTCAGATCATTTCCAGTTAGAGCACTTCTTGCATTTACATTTTACAAGAATGCCTCCTGGTCTTGTATAAGCATCCAAAGCATTTTTGATATGATTATGCATTTGGCTTTGTAATCTACTACATTTCCATTTCTTATTTCTAATTACATGCTTTCAGTAGTCTAAATGTGCTCAGTTTTCCCCCTCCCTCCTCAAAGTCGAGGATTTTTGAAACAGATACTAAAATGTGTAGTGGACACTGGTGTTGTGAAGCTATATGCCAGTGGTCATAAACCTGGATATTGCCTTCAGCAAAACAGGAGCATTGCTTTGTAGTGGTTCCAGATCTAGGTCTCAGCTAAACATCTTAGAAGGCTGTAGTAATTGCTGGTATCAAATGTTGCAGAGAAGTGCACTATAGCTAACAATGATTCATAAGCCACGTCCAATATCTGCCTTGGGTCATCTACCCAAGGCTGGTTTTGTGGATAAAATTGTTTATAGGCCAGTCAAGTGCAAGAGATTGAAGCAGTGTAGCAGTGTTGTAAGCTAGAATTCAAAAAAATTGTTTCATACAAATGCAAGTTACAAGATCTGTGTTATAGATTCTATGTGAGTGAAACTTTTGTGTGTGCGTAATGTTCAATACAGTGGAACATGTGCATAAAACCAAATTCTTTCTTGGATGAAATTCATCTTGATAGAATATTCCTCCTCCACTCCTTCCAAACTAGAGGGTGTTTCCACTAAATGCTTTGTAATGTAAAATTTTTATTTCCATTATTATACACTGACCTATGTTTTTAGTGTAATATCTGAACACAGTTTTTAATTGACAATAAGAAAAACTTGTGGTTAAATAAAAGCATGTTTTTCATATGCTGAATTCAGTTCTAAACCTGTGAAGTATGTTTTACAAATTTTAAATGAACAACATGTTTATTTAATCATGCTTGAAATATAAAAAGTAATATTGGAATAATGATTGCTTTAGGAACTGACAAAAGCTATGGTTATCTTTTTAAGTTTGGTATTTATGATAAAAAATAATTCATTTTATTGAATTCTCTTTTGGGGAGGATATGTTTATGATGTCATGTGTCATATTGCTTATAAACAAAAATGACAGGTGAAAATTTGATTTCATTAGTGGTTTTTAATTTCTTCGACAAAACATTTCAGGTGATAATTTATATTTGCTTTGTCCTGGCCAGTTTTTCAGACTCTAAATAACAAGTCATCTGTCATTTCCTTTAAATTCTCTTTATTGGCAGCACAAGTTTGGTTAACCTAGACATGTCCCAAATATCCCTTTATAAAATGTTCTGCTTTCAAACCTGTTTCTTCACTTATTTTTTATGTTTTGTTGATACATTTTACTTAGTACTTTGAATTTATATCATGTTTATTTGGATGCATTTTTGTAATATTTTCATATAATAAGTATTAGGAAATACAGTAAAGTGGTTAATCAACTTACCATAGCACAATAATAGTTACTGCTCTAGATGGTACCACAAAATAATTAGAAGTAATAAACTATTTCTAATTTCTTATAAGAAAATTATTTCTTTTTCTTTGAATATTTGCTCTTCCCTTAATGGAATTGTCAATATTTAAACAACTGTAAACTCATGGACTGCATTTTGATTAGCAAGTCTCATCACACAGAATATTCTTTAATTCATTAAGACAAAGAGGCAAGCTAAATACTACTCTTTCTTGCTTTTGTGCCTTTTTACTTTTATCTGACTGTATCCTGCTCTCAATTCTTGGACCTTATTCTGATTTAGATAGGGTTTTCAAATGTTACCTTCATATTATAAATAGTTCATTATGATGACAAATTTGTTCCCTGCAAATCCTGATGAATGCTGCAAAAGGCAAGAATACCACAATTTTTGAACAACTTAGCTATATTACTGACACTTGGCTGAATCCATATATTCAGGGTAGCATAGTTGTCTATGACTATAACTGTAGAATATTACAGTTAAATCCCATTAAAAAAATCAGGCAGCTACCTGCAAATTCTAAATTAAGCTGTGAGAGTCTAGTTTGTTTGTTGACCAATTTCCCCCACGCATAAATCCTTGCATGAAGCAGAATGAAGAACATTCTTCTGAATCACAGCTAGCTTTCTCTTTTTATTTTAACTTCCTGCTATTCTTTGCTTATCTCCTTTTCCTTACAGTTATTGTAATGCATTTCTCCTTTTCTTTTGAAACTGCTCAGTATTCTAGCTAGTCTGGTCTGGTCTGCAACCTACCATTGGATATTATGTTGTAGGGTTCATTGTGGATATTATTGTGCAGATAAGGATGATGATATATCTAAATCAAAATGATCGAAATATTCAAGAATCTCTTATCTTGTGAAATATTAGTCATTCTCAAATATTTATTTTTAAAATAATCAGTCTAATAGAGTGGCAGATCCTATGACATTCAT